ATTCTTATGTTTACTGTGCTGATAAATTCTTAAACCCTCTGGTGTGTGATTAATGGAAATAGATTAAAATAGGAAAAAATGAGATAGAATAGAAACACAATACATTGAAATGGTAATTGAAAATTGGTGACAATTGGTGATAGACCTTTCTTCTGTTCCTGTACTGACAAATGCGATAATTACTGCTTTTAACTAAAATATCTAATAAAGAAATCACAATCAAATGTGACAAACTGTATCTTTTTACAAGCATAAATAACATAGTGACATTTCACTTGTGTTGTTTTCTTCATTTGGAAATTGTTTGTTGTTTGACAAAATAATACATCACACCAGATTAATCTGCCAGTACAGCTCCCTCTTGTTTTACACTCAGCGATTCTGCAGTGTGAGAGAAGAAATTAAATACTTTCTTCACTTTCACTTAAACGACACTACAGGTCCAGACCAATGAAACCCACCACTGTATTCAGGATGCCTACTTAAAGACCTTAAAGTGTTCCAACAAAGCCTGAATGAAATAAACAAACATGTACCACATAACTTTTGCACAATAACCATACCATACAACTTCAACACCTCAATGGTTCTGTTTTTATCAGCTGACACAGTAATGAGCACAGAGCTGTAAACTAACTGCTCTACAGAGGACAGAAATACACACAATATTAAGTCTTGTTTTCAGCCTTTTATACCTGCTACCCCTTAGAGGCAGGGTAGTGCAGTGGTTAACATCAATGCCTGGCTACAGTTCCTAGGGGACTGTATGTGTGGAGTTTGCATGTTTGTGTTCACTGGGGTTTCCTCCTATAGTCCCAGTCTCATGCTGGTGAGTTCATTGGCTTGTGGGAAAATTGGCCCTGTTGTGAGTGTGTGTGTGTCTGTTTGTGTGTGCCCTGAGACAGAGAGGCGTCCTGTCCAGGGTGTGTGAGTGTGTGTGTCTGTGTTTGTCCTGTGATAGACTGGCGTCCTGTCCAGGATGTGTGAGTGTGTGTGTCTATGTGTGCCCTGAGACAGTGTGGAGTCCCATCCAAGGTGTGTGTGTTTGTGTGTCTGTGTCCAGGGT